TCTTTGGGTCTTAGGAGGATCCCAGACTTGCATTAAGCAAGTGGGAGTTATTGGTTTTATTGTGCTCTTGGAATAAGACGATGAAACAATAAAATCATTTTCTGAATTTCATAAATAAGGTTTTATTTATTTATTTTGCGCACTATTTACAAACATAAAGGTCCGGATCAAATTGTGGAGTATATGATCATATGGATACGTTCATGGAGGACATGATCATAGGATCTCACAATTGATGAATGAAGTCACAGCCGTTAAATAAAGTTGGGCACTTTATTCAGGCTGCAATATTTTATGAAATGATTTTGTCTGAATCATTGTAAAATATTGGTGTGAATTAACATTCACATTGAAAGGATCAAGGAGAGATTTGATTAAGGTTGTTTTTCTGTCATAAGGTATCAAATCTCCAGTTAACTATAGTTATGTGATTGCTCTTAATCCTGAGTTTATTATAAATAGGTAATCAAATAGTTTTCATTCTTTGATTTACCAACGGGTGAGGTTCGATCTATTGACGGCCAATAACTCGATATTTTGGGAGTGAGATTATTTGATTATTGGTATTTATGAGATAAACAACATGGAATTTGTAGGATATGTCCCCTTGATATGTTTCGGTATTTGGATATTAAAGACACTGGCCAGTGCATGTAATCCATCAGAGAAACTATCATAGTCAAGGGAATAAATAATTGATTGAGTTACAGAAAACTTGTCAATCAATTATAGACATTCTACAAAGGGGCGATGCATATTCATGTTATAAGTGTTGTTAATCTTGGAGTTCAAGTTCGGGCTTTTAGTGGAGTAGCACCGAATTAGATAATCATTCGTTGATTATCAGGAGCCTTGATTAATAACAGATGGTAGATCCCCAAGCTAGCTTGAGACAAGGGATGGGGTATTTTTCGGATAGATGATGACTTATGGGTTACATGATCTTGGGTTTTACGACTCAAGTTTGTATCCAAAAGAGCAAGTGGGAGATTGTTGGGTTTGCTCTTTTACTAAAGCCCAAATGAGTTATTAGTATGAGAAGAGCCCAAGGAACCTAGAGCCCAATGAGCTAGGGTTTCTTGGAACCCATATAAATAGTACCTCTTAAGTCATCAGCCTCTAGGAGGTCTTTTTTGTGAGAAAGAGGCAAGCTCAGAATCTAATCAGTGCCCACACACTTCCCCTTCCTCCTCGAGAGATAGTTTGGAAGATCTGCCACAGTCCTCCTTCAAGGAGGTTGTTCGTGCTGCGGCGCTGAGGTGAGCTGTTCGTGAAGAGGAATCCTACAAGGGAAGATTCTACACGAGACCTGCGCACCGAGAGGTAATTGTGAAACAATGATGATTCGGTAAGCATACCAATGTACTAGGTCCTAAATCGCTTCCGCATAAATCTAAGATTTCCTTCAAAAATTGGTGAAAACAAATGCGAAAAAATATATATTGCATTATGTGTCAATCTTAAAAACGAAATTGACCCGCATTAATCTTCTTATAGGTTATTCGTGTCGTGCCATATCATATATAAACTATTGTGTCATCTCAATCTGCATGATAAGCAACACACTTTGACATTAACAGATTATTTGTGTCATCACAAATAATTTGTCAACCCGCATAATAAGTGTTATATTTTGAGGTTGACAAATTATTCGTATCGTATCGTATCAACTCATAAAATAAGCGGGTCGTAATCGTGTTGAGTGTATCCATTTTTATATCTAATTCATATTGTGTCATGTTGTGTCAACATGAATTGTCACCTCTACCTCTCCTCTGTTTTCTTGTTTTTTGATTAAATTTTTTGGAAGCTCATAATCAAAATATATACATATATATTAAATTTTTAGTATGGATTGAAAAGGTTATAATTTTGTTAAATAAAGTTAGTTTGTGTTTTTTATACTTCTTTTTTGTTCGATGTGTTTTGACTTTTGATAACTATTTTTAGAATCTCCGCTACTGTCATATTTGTATCAATTATTTTTCATCTTTGTTAAAAAATGATCATTATACTTTTTATGTTCATAAAATGATACGACTATAAGTATCATAATTGATTTCTTATTCTTTATTTTATTTCAGAAAAAAGGTTTAGTTTTCATAATGAACAGCCCTTCCAAATAAATACACGAAGACCAGTGCGAATCAAACATTGGTTGTTGTTTCTCAAGTTGACGTTGAACTTGGTAGAGACTGTCCTATAATAGGTCCATGAAAACCCATTTAGTCGCATATTTAAGTTTAAGAAAATCAACCTTGCTTTATGGTTGAACATGGTTCTTATAGATTGTCTAGTAACAAAGAACTGTAAGTAATAGAAATAAAAATTTGATCAACCAATTACAAAGAAAAGGATTCAAGTTTTGCCAACAAACCAACTCCTAGTGGCAAAATAATTAATTAATAATTATCCGATACCAATAAAACTAGCAGTGTAAATTTTACCAAGTTGTGATATATAACACTGTAAAAAGATCCTTAAAATAGTATAAACAAAGCCTGCCTCCAATGTTAAAATTTATTTAAATGAGAAGTCAGAATATAACTAATATTGCTATTAATATTATTTTTCAATTGCAGGTAACAATAACAACCTTTGACTGAAGTGATGCTAATATAAGAGGTTAAAGCCTAATTTCTTATCCCGCATCTTATTTGTATTATATATAAAATGTGCTTTCCATTTAAGAGCTTAAAGTTTTAGAATAGTTAATTTATGACAAAATATTAACCTATATATATTAGCCTATATCATGCAATTTAGAATTCAATCTAGTTATTCCCATGTTTTTAAAATAAAAAAAAAAAGTTAAATCTTCTGTACATTGTCCCGCATAAAGCCTAAAGAACTCTTACAATGGCGAATTATCCCCCATACTTTTTAGTTAAGAGAACGTTTGATATAGGAGATATTTTTTTTACCGAAAAAAAAAATTAGAAATATAGTGGTAAATATTTTTTCCCAGGTAAGTTATGAAAAAGTTTTTGATATGTCAAAATTATACCGAAAAAATTGGGTTAATTTTACTTATGTGTTTGGTTGATGAAAAAATATTGATGAAATTTTGAAGCAAAATGACTAAATTATACTTCTATGCGGTATTCATTTACATCTGCATATAGCACTCGAGTGTATTATGGTCTTAATTCGTTTGAATCACAATCAGAATACCTGGGCGAAAAAAAAATACCATAAGCTACTGAGGATTTTTTTTTTTTCCAGTGCTCAGTGTAAATATGGAATGACTGGAGAATTATTTGGCAGGGAATAAATCAGGATACCTTATACCATACATAGACAAAAAGTATTCCCCACCCCACTTCCCCATCATTCTAAACAAAAGATTGATACCAAACATCCCCTTAGTGTAAATAGTGTAAGTAAACATTGGGTCTGACCTTACCTGTTAAACTGTGTAGGCCCCAAATTACAAATTTGGTCTAATCTATATTTAAAAAATAATAATTTTGGCCTAAACTTGTTTAAGCCTATTAAACATTCAACAATTAAAAAAATAACTAAAATAATATCACTTTATTATTCAAAATTATTAAAATAATAATTTTATTTATTTTATTTACAATAAATAATATAATATAGACTGACTTGTAGCCTTATAGGAACGACACGTACAAAAAAATCTATGGTCAACTTTCTAAATAGATTTTCCTAAAAGTTTAGGTTTGTTCTATTTTACTATTTGTAATAGGTCAAGCATGACTTAATATAGGCTAGGTCGTAGGCCCCTGTAGACCGACCTAGTCCATTTGCAACCCTAGTTTTGGGACACTTTAAATAACAAGACCAATTTTGTAAGATTTTACTATCAATATAGAAACCCTACTCTACTCATCTTCAAATCGATTGCAAGGCTTTCAAAAGTCCCAATTCTATCTATTACGGGGAAACATAGCCTTAAATATTTTACACATTTTCAATGTGAAGATTATCTGAAACCGGTTAACATTGTCCCGCATAAAGCCTAAAGAACTCTTACAACGGAGTATTATCCCCCATACTTTTTATTTAAGGAGACGTTTGGTATAGAAGATATTTTTTTTTATCGGAAAAAAAAAATTTAGAAATATTGTGGTAAATATTTTTTCTCGGGTAAGTTATGAAAAAGCTTTTGGTATGCCAAAATTATACCGAAAAAATTAGGTTAATTTTACTGATGTTGTATTTGGTTGATGAAAAAATATTGATGAAATTTTGTAGCAAAATGATTAAATTATACTTCTCTGTGGTATTTATTTACATCTGCATATAGCACTCGAATGCATTATGGTCTTAATTCGTTTGAATCACAATCAGAGTACGTGGGCGAAAAAAAAAATACCATAAGCTACTGAGGATTCTTTTTTTTCGGTGCTCAGTGTAAATATGAAATGACTAGAGAATTATTTTGCAGGGAATAAATTAGGATACCCTATACCATACATAGACAAAAAATATTCCCCATCCCACTTCCCCATCATTCTAAACAAAAGCTTGATACCAAACATCCCCTAATGATTTAAGGTTTTGAGTAAAGGTGTAAATGGTGTAGACTAGGCTAAACTTTGGCTTACATAAACCAGACCTGTGTAAAAAAACATTGGGTCTGACCTTACCTGTTAAACTGTGTAGGCTCCAAATTACAAATTTGGTCTAACTTATATTTAAAAAATAATAATTTTGGCCTAAGCTTGTTTAAGCCTTTTAAACATTCAACAATTAAAAGAATAACTAAAATAATATTACTTCATTATTCAAAATTATTAAAATAATAATTTTATTTATTTTATTTACAATAAATAATATAATATAGACGGACTTGTAGCCTTATAGGAACGACACGTACAAAAAAATCTATGGCCAGCTTTCTAAATAGGTTTTTTTAAAAGTCTAAATCTGTTCTATTTTACTATTTGTAATAGGTCAAGTATGACTTAATATAGGCTAGGCCGTAGGCCCCTGTAGACCGACCTAGCCCATTTGCACCCCTAGTTTTGGGACACTTTAAATAACAAGACCAATTTTGTAAGATTTAACTATCAATATAGAAACCCTACTCTACTCATCTTCAAATCGATTGCAAGGCTTTCAAAAGTCCCAATTCTATCTATTACGGGGAAACATAGCCTTAAATATTTTACACATTTTCAATGTGAAGATTATCTGAAACCGGTTAACATATTTCTACAAATTTAGCTTAAGAGACCCTCTTTTCCTAAACTTTGATATTTGTAGCTGTAGCTTGCCTTTGACCAGCAACATCCACACGAACATTATAAACACTGGTTAACTAAGCAAAGCCAAACTGAAACCATTATTTTACAAAGTAAGGGCAATCATAAGAGACTTCCATTAAATATGTAGAATTAAAATTTGTTACCCTTTCATCCATGATCCATCATGCATATCCAGTCATTCCAACTGTGGAGCTCACCCGATTAGCCTTCTGAGAAACTGGAGTAGTGGTTGCCTTTGTGAAGTACATGTAGTAGTACACGTTAAGAATCATGGTTGCAACAGCGAAAACTGCTCCAGTAACGAAGACACCTTTCCTCAAGGTTTCACAGGAGAAATTCTGAGCATAAATCATTCCCCGGTATTTGGTGTGATAGGCATTCTTTGTTGCACCTGCTATCAAGCATGCTTCTGCGACCAGAAAAGTGACCCTGCGAATGCAAAAAATGTAACAACTGAAACTCAAATGATTCACTGTGAAGAGCATAAATGATCTTATACATCCTCGGCAGTAATTTGGAAGTCGACAAGTTCAGGAAGCTTAACTTGAATTAAAAAAAATTACTGTGGAATAAAATAATATTTCCTAGCTAGTTAACCTATAATCAAATCTATAGCCAAAAGGGGTGAGGGATATGTGTTGAATATAGAAGTTGTTACAATATTTGAATTGCTGTTGTATAAGATAGAATCTTTGTATTTGATTTGATTTAAGTTGCTGTTACAATTAGATAGCTGTTACAATCCGGAAAGCTGTTACCATTTGATTTGAAAATGTTGTTAGTAGTTCCATAGTTTTAGGATGCTATAATTGTATAAATATATCTCCAAAATGGTGAAGAAATAAAATAAGAAAGAACAAATATTTCAGTACCTTTGTTTATGCCTATTTGAGTATTACAGTGTTGGAGTTTTAACATGGTATCAGCATTGTTCTGATCCTGGGACATATTTTTACACCCATTTTTTATCCCACTCATATCCCACCCGTACTTGGCCTCTGTCAATTTTTTACCTTCTTTCTCTTTACCCAAAACCGTACCCAACCCTTTCTTTATTTCTCCTCTCCATTTCTGTCACTCAAAACCCGTACCCGTACCCATTTTTTTTTATTTTTCCAATTCCATCCTTTCTTCCCAAATGGAGAACACTAACAATGACGTCGACCAGCAACCGAACCACGACCAGCCTTCTACCCCTGCACATACTCCTTCCAACATTGTCATCCACCAAGACAATACTTCCTTTCCTATCACGGTGGTCCTCGATGACACCAACTATCCCCTATGGTCGCAGTTAATGGAGATGCGCATAGCCGCTCGGAGCAAATCTGGTTTCTTGACCGGTGACACCCCTAAACCACCCATCGCAGATCCCACCTATGGCACCTGGATCACTGAGAATCAGAGGGTGAAAAGCTGGCTAATCGAATCCATGTCTCCTTCGTTGATGCAACGATTTCTTCGTCTGGAGTCCGCTCATGAAATTTGGGATGCTGCCCTTCGAACCTTTTATGATGGTTCGGATGAAACGTGCTTGTTTGATCTGAACCAGAGGTCCTTCAACACCAAGCAAAATGGTCGGACCTTATCCCTCTACTACAATGAACTGCTTTCAATTTTTCAGGAGATCGACCATCGCATGACTGCTCAGGAAGGCTCTGTCGAAGGTGTTCTCCATCTGCATTCGTCTATGGCACGGCTTCGTGTTCACATCTTCCTCAGCGGCTTGGATGCTGAGTTTGAATCGGTCCGTGGAGAAATCCTTAGAAAAGATCCAAAGTTGGATCTTGAACGCACCTATGCTTTTGTTAGGCGTGAGGCTCAACAACGCATCATCATGGGTCGTCCCTCTCCACTCGCGAATTCCTCTGCTTTGGTCACACATGCACCGCGTAACCCCTCTGGCTCCTCATCCTACAGACCTCGAAAGGATTCTTCCAAGCCCAGCTCCCTTCATTGCTCTCATTGTGGTGACTCGGGTCACACAAAACTCAGGTGCTATGAACTCATTGGCTACCCGGATTGGTGGGACTTCAACAAACGTCCCCGTCGAAAGGTCCTCAACCGCACCTTGGCAACCACCTCAGACGGTGACTCTTCTTCCCCTTCTACTGCTAATACGGTTTATGAAGGAATTCTAGGTAAGTCCTCTGCCTTCTCTACACTTTCTCAGAATTACACTTGGATAATTGATACCGGTGCATCAGATCACATGGTTCGTGATCCCTCCTCACTTATCTCTGTCTTTCCCTCTGAAAAAACACACGTCTCTACTGCCAATGGTGGCACCTCCATTATTACTGGTCAAGGTTCTGTAAATTTATCCCCTCTATTAATCCTTGAACATGTTCTCGTTGTACCTACTCTTGAATATAACTTGCTTTCGGTTAGTAAATTAACCACTGCCTTGAACTGTTGTGTGACTTTCTGGCCTGATTATTGCCTTTTCCAGGGAAACCACTCCAAGGAGATTCTTGGTTATGGTGTTAGGCAAGGGAAGCTTTACTTCTTGGATGTATCTCCTAATAATGGTGTCTCGCACGCGCATGCTGCCAACACCTCTTCCAAAGACAAAGATCTGCAAGCACTTTGGTTGTGGCACAAACGCCTTGGACATCCTTCCTTCAGTTATCTTAAGCAATTGTTTCCAAAGTTATTTTCCAGTTTTTTGGTTTCTGAGTTTAAATGCTCTGTTTGTGAATTGGCCAAGAGCCATAGAATCCCTTTTTCCCCAAGTTTGAATAAAAGTTCTATCCCTTTCCAAGTTGTGCACTCAGATGTTTGGGGTCCTGCTAAAATACCTTCATTTTCTAAATCTTACTATTATGTTTCCTTTATAGATGAATGTACACGTATGGTTTGGATCACTTTACTTAAACAAAAAACTGAAGTTTTTTCTGCTTTCCAACACTTTCATGCTATGGTCCAAAACCAGTTTTCATCCTCTATCCATATTTTACAATCCGACAACGGAACTGAATATGTTAATGGTGTTTTCACTGATTTTCTATTATCCAAGGGCATTAAACACCAAACCTCATGTCCCTATACCCCCCAACAAAACGGTTTGGCTGAACGGAAAAATCGTCACTTGTTAGAGGTTGTTCGTGCCTCTCTATTTCAAATGAATGTTCCTACTCGTTATTGGGGCGAAGCCCTCACTTCTGCTGCCTACTTAATAAACAGAACACCTTCTAGTGTCCTTAATTTTAAAACCCCTCTCCAAACACTTGCATCTTTTTTTCCTATCCCTCACATGACTAATGTTGAACCTCGTATTTTTGGTTGTGTTACTTATATTCATGTTCCCAAGACTTTGCGAAACAAGCTTGATCCTTGTGCCCGTAAATGTATCTTTGTTGGCTACTCTACCACTCAGAAAGGGTATAGATGTTTTGACCCGGTATCCCACAAGATGTATGTCACACTGGAGGCCTCCTTTCATGAATTGGAGCCTTTTTATTCAGGGGGAGTCCCTGTTTCTTCTTCTCAGGGGGAGACTTCTACACCTTTACTTGGAAAAGAAGACATATGGCTGTCCACACAAGTTGTACCTTTGACTCAGTCCAACTCAAATACAGATGCAGTCCTTGAACCCGAGCAACATAATGCAATCTTAGATTCTGAACAAGAAAATGCAGCTGTCCAAGCCGAACAAGAAGCATCCTCTACAAATGATACACCTTGCCTAACTCATATACCCGAGATCTCTCCTGTGGACTTCCCTGAAAGGCAACCAGAATCCAATGTTGAGGTACACACTAATCCTTCCACTTCTAATGTATCTCCTCTTAACTCTACTTCACCTTCAGTACCACACATACAAATAAGAAGGTCCCTTAGATCCACCAAGGGAATACCAAAACATCTTTATGAAGCTGACCCAAAGGTGAAAACAAAGTATCCAATTAGTAACTACATTTCCACACAAAGGTTAGTCGAACCATGTATGCTAGCTGTTAATCAATTATCTAGTGTGTGTATTCCGAATAGTGTGCAGGAAGCCTTGGATGATCCTAAGTGGAAAGAAGCCATAAATACAGAAATGACAGCACTTCAGAATAACTCTACCTGGGAACTAGCTTTGCTGCCTAAAGGAAAAAAAACGGTTGGCTGTAAATGGATATTTAATGTGAAGCTGAAGGCTGATGGGAGCATAGACAGATACAAAGCTAGACTAGTGGCAAAGGGGTATACTCAAAATATGGTGTGGACTACCAAGAAACTTTTGCTCCGGTAGCCAAACTAAACACAATTCGAATCCTGATCTCCTTGGCAGCAAATAGAGATTGGCCCTTGAAGCAGTTCGATGTAAAAAATGCTTTTTTGAATGGAGACTTGGAGGAGGAGGTGTATATGGATATCCCACCAGGAGTAATACTCTCATCTTCAAACGAAAATAAAGTTTGCAAGTTAAGAAAGGCATTATATGGACTTAAGCAATCGCCAAGAGCATGGTTTGGAAGATTGTCACTCGCAATGAAGAAGTTTGGCTATACCCAAGGTAATGCAGATCATACACTATTCTTCAAAAAGAATAAAGGAAAAATAACTATCCTTATAGTGTATGTTGATGATATGGTACTCACCGGCGATGATGAAGCAGAAATGAAATCTCTTGAACAAAAGTTAGCCAATGAATTTGAAATGAAGAAATTGGGACAACTGAAATACTTTCTGGGAATTGAAGTTGCTAGATCACAACTAGGGATTGTATTGTCTCAAAGAAAGTACATCTTGGATCTCCTGGCAGAAACAGGAATGTTAGCTTGTAAACCTGCAGACACACCCATGGAGATGAACCACAAGCTTGGCATATATCCAAATCAAACGGAAGCTGACCTCGGTTTGTATCAAAGATTGGTAGGCCGATTAATTTATCTCTCCCACACAAGACCAGACATTGCATATGCTGTCAGTGTAGTGAGTAGATTCATGCATTCACCTAGTGAAGAACACTTGCAAGCAGTATTCCGTATTCTGAGATATCTAAAAGGGTCTCCTGGTAAAGGCATTCTATTTGCCAAACATGAAAAAGGAATCATAGAAGGGTATACAGATTCAAATTGGGCTGGTGATAAGACAACTAGGCAATCCACCTCTGGTTATTTTACATTCGTAGAAGGAAACCTTGTTACTTGGAGAAGCAAGAAACAGAAAGTAGTGGCTCGATCCAGTGCTGAAGCTGAATTCAGAGGTATGGCCTATGGCATATGTGAACTATTATGGATCAAAACTATGCTAAGTGAGTTAGGATTCAAAAACAACCGACCCATGAGCTTGTACTGTGACAACAAAGCTGCCATAGAAATTGCACACAATCCCGTACAGCATGACAGAACAAAGCATGTAGAGGTAGATAGACATTTCATCAAGGAAAAATTGGATCAACAAATAATCTGCACTCCGTATATCAAATCCGAAAATCAGATAGCAGACTTGTTGACCAAAGCTGTATCCGGAAAAAGTTTGAAGGAAGTAACTAACAAGTTGGGCATGATAGATATACATGCACCAACGTGAGGGGGAGTGTTGAATATAGAAGTTGTTACAATATTTGAATTGCTGTTGTATAAGATAGAATCTTTTTATTTGATTTGATTTAAGTTGCTGTTACAATTAGATAGCTGTTACAATCCGGAAAGCTGTTACCATTTGATTTGAAAATGTTGTTAGTAGTTCCATAGTTTTAGGATGCTATAATTGTATAAATATATCTCCAAAATGGTGAAGAAATAAAATAAGAAAGAACAAATATTTCAGTACCTTTGTTTATGCCTATTTGAGTATTACAGTGTTGGAGTTTTAACAATATGTATAATTATAAATCCAACTATTAAACCATTAAAGAGATGAGGCAAATAATGAATTCTCCAATAATTATTTTCAGAGAGAAACAGAGGATTAGATATTTTAAGAACATATCATTCTTACACCAATAATTTAGCTTGTTAAATATCAGTGATCAGCTGAAACTGAAAGTGTCAAGTATTTTCAAAAAAAAAAAAGTGTCATGTAAGAATTCAGAGTTCTCACCAAGAAGAAATAAAATATATAATGGACCATGCTCGATTCCCCCCAGGTGTTAAAGGCCTCCCAAAGCACATGCACTTTGTTACTCCCATAAGCAGTGATTCACTTGAAAGAAGAAACAGGAAAGCACCCACTCCATAACCAGTTGCAACATCTGAGTTGTAGATACAATATGTTTCATTTGTTCCTTCATTTTTGTACATGATTCCCTGTCAAGCAAGAGCATAGAAAAGGGGGGCATGTCAATGCAAATTGACAGTAAAATATGGCACACTGCATATTTAAAACAACATTGACTGCAAAATATTAATTCTGAATCAAGGTGATTGCAGAATCAAGGAGGAAAAGAATGAATACTACATAGAATTAACTCTCCCATCCCCAGGAAATTCTAGAGTCCTGGCTCTTTCCCATGGAAGGGGAAGTGACAACAAAGGGCCTACTTACACAGCAGGAGGGCGACAAAATAATGCGGGAAGTGTTTGAAAGTGAGTTGTTTCCCAGGATCAGTTGCACTGACTAAGGAGATTATGATGAGGTCATTACCCAAATTAAACAGTTTAACAAAATCCTTTGAATATGTATTGTCCTGCTACACTAGTTATTATCATTTTTATGTGCAAAACCATTGTTTCCACCTTCTTAGGGGAACAAAATAAGGAGGAGAAGAAAATGAGAACAAAGACAGGGGGAAATGCAAATGAGGATGTAGAAAACAATTTTCTCCTCTTTCGTTTGAATGTCATAAATAAGGAAAACGAACATGAAAAGGAAATTTCACAATCACAGGTTCAATGTTCACCAGTAACAGATTTTTGTTACAATGGGAAATCAAGTAGACAAGAACAACGCTGAAAATTCCCCCCTGCTGCCTCTGCCTCCCGTAGGAGTCCGGGCCATGTCTGCCATGTCTCAGTCCCAGTGTGGCTGATCGTCCTCTCGACCAGCTACTAATCATTGCCTTGATAAGCTATTGCCTCACCAACTAGCTAATCAGAAGCGAGCTGTGAAATTTAGAATGCTATCGCTATGACATGTGATGTAATGTCCGAGAAATTTCTGTCAGATATTCTCCTCAATTTCATTTCTCCCACACCTCCCTATGTTTCCAAAACAAGTTAATGCAACTCTGACATCTAATTCTTATTCCTCCCAAAACCATTCCACTTTCAACCCTTCCAAACAAGGAGCAGAAGATCCCATACCAAACAAGTAAATGTTGGTATCTTCGAGGTTTTAGCAGCACTAGCCTCTCATAATCATCAACAACAACAAATTTCGATGAAAACAAATGCAAAAAGACAAGTACCATTTCAAGAACAATGTTTACAAAACTTAACAAGCCTAGTATTTAGCTTCTCTACAACGTGTAAAATACCATTTCAATACAAAAATTATACCGAGTGAAGGCCACATTAATTAATGGTTTTTTATATATTATATCTCTAACGCCAAGTATTTAGCTTCATGCCTATTGTCCAACAAATGGATCACATAGAAGGCAAACCCAAAATTTAGACACGGAATCTAACATAGATCTATGTCAATTGTGCCATTTTATTCGCATACAAATAATCACATATGAGGAGAAAGAAAAATAAAAGGGCACTAGAAAACCTTATATATGCAAATTAAATTACAGGGAGAGAGAGAGAGAGAGAGAGAGAGAGAGAGAGAGAGAGAGAGAAACAGTGGCTTACGACGCTTCTTCTTCTCTCAGCGGCTATGGCGAAACCAAATGCGACCAAGCATAAAGCCACCACCAAAAGGTGAACAAGAGTGGAGCCTCTTCCTTCGGCCATCTCTTGCTGTGAGAGCTTTTTGTGTCTCTATGAGAAATGGGTTTGTGTTGTTGAGTTGAGCTATACAGCAGAGTGAGTGAGTGAGTGACAGCGAGTAGGTGCAGGACAAAATAGTATGAACAAAACAAAGGGACTACTTTTTTTGATTCGCCGTTTAATAATGTAAGAAGAAGAAAGACCATTCTTTGTTTCAACTTTCGATAAAGCTGTTGGGGAGAGATAGGGGAATCTTGGACCCACGCGTGACGATGGAACGTGTATCATACGCTCGGTTCAAAGGTTAGAAACTTAGAATGATTGTCGTTTAGAGTGTGAGATAGGGGAACGCCCCTGCTTGTCACACGCTCTGTAGTGTTACTACTTACGAGGCTACAATACTATTTTTATAAATATTATATTCTATTACCATTTATTATTAAAAAAATTATAATTCTTTTTTTAGTAAATTAATTCTTTGAATAATAGTCCTAATTTTCTAAAAAAAAATACTTTAATCATGTATTTCATCGTTTTTAAAGAATAATATATATTATTTTTAACCTCTTTTAAAAATATTTACATTAATTATACACATTTTTTTACAATCTTAAATTTTTTAATTCATTTTTTAGATTAAACTTAAATTATATCTACATAATTATTTTATAAATTTTATTTTTCAAGAGTTTTTTGTTCAAATTTATTTTTTTTATTTAAATCTAAAAGTTCTCCTTTTAAAGCATAAAAATTTTCTCCTACTAGTGACTCAAAGTATAAGTGGGTCTATAAAATAGTTGAGAAAAAAAAAATTCAAAGTAAAATCTAGTTATACTATCAGTCACTAATAAGAGAATAATTTTCTCATTCAAAAGGAGAAAATGTTTTTCCTACATTAAACAGCGGACATATGAAAAACACCACCATCGTCCGTTTACTGCTAATCAAAAAGTTATAAAAATGTTAATGGAATGATTTGTACTAAGAAGATTATTCTTACAAAAAGAAAAAAATTGTGAAATAAAAAATAACATTGGCCGTCTCGGTTTGTTTTTAAACATGCATCGTTAAGGTAGAGGTGAACGAATAAAAAATATTATTTATTTTTAATTAATCAAAAAAAAGTTTAAAACGTAAATATTAAATAGTTATAATATTTAATAAATGTTTTATTTTAAATTTTCAATATATAATCTATGGACACATGTTGGTAAAACTATTTTTAATTACAAGACAGGCATCTTCCAGTCTTTGATTCCAAGATCACATATACTCTACCCGGAAATCCAAAAATCATGGGTCTCATCTAGTAGGGGAGGTCCACCTCGTTACATACTCAGGGCATAATTCCCATATACACTGTGATTTATTTTATCTAATTTGAAGGTTTATTAAGGTGTTAAATTAGCCTAACCCGATTGGTCAATCCATTTATTTCCATATCTTAACTTTTTTTAAACGTTTCATTAAAAAAATAAACGAATTATTTAATTATATATAAGCAATGCTATTATTAAATCTGAATTGGTGATCAATTTGATCGAGATACCAGATTATTATTATTAATTGAATCGTTTAAATTAAATTTATTAAAGATATATAATGAACATATAAATAGAAGTAATATGACAATCAAAGTGAGTTGGTTTAGTGGTTAGCATTTAATTTCCATTTCCTTAGGTGCCTAATGCAATTGTGGTGGAATATTTTTCCACAGTTTTCAATAATCGGTTCAACAAAAGAATTGATACTGGGTCATGATCGATTCACCGGTTCTTAATCGAATTATATGTATGGCCAATTAATTGAATAAACCAGATTGGTTAGTGATTCAGTTCCCGATGTCAGTCAGATTGTTTCTAATAACACGGGTTATGATTAATTAAAGGAAAAGTATTTTTCCACAATAATAAAATTATCTATTGTAATCTCGAAATAAATTCCGTCTTATCTAATATTTGCCCATATAATTAAATGAAATTATTTATCAATGTATTAAAGTGGGTGTCGCTGGAGAGGTGTGGGGAGGATTGCCATACGGTAGAATCTATCCTTTACCATCCATATTCTCACCTAATGTATGTATTAATTAACATCACCAATAATATTCGGATAATAATAATAATATAATTATTATTATTTTAAAACATGAAATTAAATGTATCCAAACAAATAAAAATTAACATCGTAATTAATTATTATTTATGTCCCACGATCTTTTACAGTCCCCGTAAATTTAAAATTTTCAAATTAGTTGTTGACGATGGCAATTTAATAATTGATTTTTTAATTTCTTTTCCTATTGGTTCGAAAAATAAACAATGCAATTATTTTCACTATTTTCTAATATTAAGTTTATGATTAATAATTATAATCTAATTATTGATTTTTATTTTTATTTCCCTATTTGCTATTGACAAAGTCTAAGTACTTAGTGACCAAAATTTTTGTCTTTTTGAAGATAAACTTTTCCTAATTTCTCACACTTTGAATCTTTTAAAAATAAAATATTAGCAAGGTATATTGATTAAAATTCAAAAATTTAAAAATCAAAATCAAAATCATGTCACAAAATATTTCACGATTAATTATAACATTAAAGCAAAAAATGAATATGTATAGTATCATTTAGTCAACTTAAATGATAACAAATATTTGAATTCTCCTGCTAAGTAGGGGGGAAATCAATCGTCAAGATTGACAGTAAAATTAATATTTTTGAATTTTCAGACATTTTAAAAGAGTCAGACAAATAAAAAATATTTATGGTGTTAATTATTGTTTTATTGAATTAATTTGATGTTAATTTCCAAAATAATAATATTTATATTATTTATAATCTCAATTATTATTCATGATCTTAATTTATATTTACATTCAGTTAGGGGATGAGGGTACATATGACAACTTTCCAATAAACGTCTTTTCCTTTACTTTTAGTCTACGGAAAGAAATAATTAGAAATAATGTTTGAAAAATTAATTCTTTTTTGTGTTCTAGAAAATGAATCCAAAACCTAAAAATAGAAATGGGCGAAATAAGAAATAATTTTTTTATTCATATCATGTTATTTATTAAACACACTTGTAAAATGTATTTTCAGATTAAATGCACAGAACATACTAATTATTAAACACTTAGTCCATCTCATAGGGATTTGATATAATTTGGGTTAAAATAGTGCCAGATACCTTTCAAATTAATGATTTAATAATTTTCACATTTTTTATTAGTTGTATAATTCATTTGTATTTTATTATACATGTCATTTATTATTATATTTGTATTGAATGTTGTTGTTTATGTCATTTTATTTTTATGTTAAATTTATTGTTAATTTTTATATTAATTTTGTGGTTTATTATATTTATTATGTTTATTGTTATGTCAATTGTTATTGTTTTTTATTTAATATGAAATTTATTTATCTTATTTTTTATTTATGCTATAATATTTTATGATTTAATAGTTTTTTAATTTATTAAGATTTCATGTAATTTATTATTTTTTTGTTATTTACATCGTTTATTATTATTTAAATATTGAATTTTGTTTTTTTATGCTATTTTATTTTTAAGTTAAATTTTTTATTAATCATTTTTTGATTTATAATATTTTTTATGTAATTTATTCTAGTAAGTATGTATTCATCTTTAGTTATTTATCTCTTATATCCACAAGTATAAAAATGAATATGTAAAAAAAGTTTTTTTTTTACTGAAGCCCGAAAAACAGAAACGAAAAAAGGCAACGCCTTAAATCGATTCGGAGATAGTAATCCTTGGGTTCGTTTTTTCTGCAAGAAACACAGAAAAAATGGGACCTATTGATTTAAAAAAAAAAAAAAAAAAACAAGATCTGACGTTGTATCCTGGTGTTATTATACTTTGTCGAGAATTTTTTTTCAGTCACATAAAAAATATATTTCCCTTACATCAGCTAACATAAGAACCTGAAGATCTAAAGAGGGGAGTTTATGAAAGAAGTTCCCTGGTGTAATTGAAATGCACAAGAAACTATCCAATCTGCACACGTATTGCCTTCTTTATAAACATGAATTTTTTTTTTTTAGCACAAATATGTTGTATTTTTACCTCCTAGTCTCTGTCAAGCAGCACAAAAAAAAGTCTATTAATTGTTGTTCAGCTCCTTTATTAGATATGTGGGTTAGACTCTACACTAGAGCCTGGTTTTCATATTGAAGAAATATCTTTTTGTAGCCCAAATTCTAAGCCATTTTGAGCCCTTCTACGATTCTCCAGCATTCTGCTTTAAAGGCCGAGACCGAACCACAATTCCTAGCAAAAGCCTTTATAAAAGCGCTTTAGCTATCTCTCAATAAACCCCCCACACCCTCCTTTTCCATTCATTTTTTATGCCCCATCTACGTTCAAAGCTACTCAATCCAAGGGAGGTGAGAGCCAAGCTATTGATATTTGGATTCCTCGAGCTATGTTGGTCAAAAGCAGTTCGAACTGTTGGGATTCCTCCTTCAATGCTAAGCCCAAGCTCATTTGAGGGGTTTCCTAAAAACCCTAACCTTAATTTCCATCTCCTCTATATATACTCATTAGTTGTGGGTGGAGGCTAGGTCAGATTTGAGAGAACAAATTTGAAGAGAAAAATTATTTGATTGTTTGAGTAAAGATTTATGTTTTGCATTTGAGATCTCTAGAGAGAGTTTGAGTTAAACATCTCTAGGGTAGTTTGATTATCACCATTGTTGGAGAGGTTGAGTTAACCACCACATTGGTATATTTGATTCGTTGTAACCATTATTTTCATAGTGGATTTTTGATCTGGATTAGGTCCCGTGGGTTTTTTACTTCTTCATTGGAGAAGGTTTTCCCACGTTAAATCTGGTTGTGTTCCTCCTCTCTGTCCTGTTTTGTGATTTTTCGTTTTGATATTTCCGCTACGCTGCCTCACCTGGTGAAGTTTAGGCCGAGGTATTGCCGAGATCAGAATCTTGTTGATTGACTTCTGCACAAAGGCTACTTAGCCGAGCTTGAGGGAACCGATAGTTCCCAACACGAACTTCTTTTACATAATTATTAATTATTTGGATTGGATTATGGGGTCTTGAGGAATCTTAATCATGAATTGCAACATTCCTCTATCTCCAGATAAACCAACATGTATATTGTGA